AGCATAAAGCGGACAAAATGCGGGGAGGCAGTGAAGGACGGGAAGGCCTGGCGCAATATGGTTCATGGGGTCATGAAGAGTCGGACACGACTTAATGACTGAACAACAAGAAGAATTTGCCCATTTTCATGCCAATTAAAAATAATCCAGATAAATATGGATATGAGATAGAAAAGATTTCTTTCAAGTATAAAAGTGGTGATGCTATAGAATTGGTTCTCCTCCTCCTCCTCCTCCTGGTTTTTATTCAACAAGAAATAACAGTAGAGACAAAAAGAATCACACATTTGATTGGTGTTTGTTGGAAATCTGAGATCCAGACAGGTACCTAGGAATTACCCAAGTATGTCTTCAGATATAACGTGTGCCCAACAAGTGTTTGTTTATTATCATCATCATTCCCAGTTTATGGATGACTCAGATGGGCAGGCTGAGGCAGCCCCATTTCTCTCCCATGTCCTTATTAAGAAGCAGCATCTGGTCAAGATATTTCCTTCCTCCAGGAAGTTAGGTGGTGGCAATGGAAGTAGAACATAACCAGAAGCTATACCAGGTATCAGGCAGGAAGGAGACAGGGCCAAAGAGTGGCGTTGGAAGGGTCAAGGCCATTCTAGCTCCAACATGCCACTCCTGGCCAGCTACCCGCTACATAGGCAGAAATAACAAGGCCACTACTAGAAGCAGAAATAATAGGTATAAGTTGCAGCTAATTAAGTTTCATTTCAATATAAAGAGAAACTTTCTGACTCTAAGCTTGGTTCAACAATGGAACAGTATAGAGGTTTTGGGTTCTTCACCTCTGGAGGTTTTTAAGAAGAGGCTGGACAACCACATCTTAAGGATAGTTTAACTGGTTTTCCTGGACCCTGCAGAAGGGTTAGGCTTAGATTACTTTGTGGTCCCTTCCCTCTCTATAACTTGATGATTCTGTCTATGATATCCTCTGCACCAGCCAGATCGTCCTTAATTGTGCTCAGATTCAGCTCCAGAGTTTCCCTGTTTTTTCCCCCTTGTGATCCAAAGGCAGAACATCAGCAGCGCAGAGAGCGCTCTGCAGAACGACATGAGGAAAATGATGGCTAATTAACCTGGACACATAACCAGCTGGGAGGAGAAATATACACCACATCAGCCTGCTAGGAAATAATGGGTTTGTCTCTTTTAGCAGGCTATGACTGGGATCATATTGTGACAGAGGGGGTGTGTGAATCTTCTTACTAAGTAAGAAGCCGTCTTAGGCATTGGCAAAGATACCCTGGCTCTCCTTGTTTGGCTGAATTTAACTTAACGTTGCTGTGTAGTATTGTCAGTTTGTTGGCTGCCTGGCTGGCTCCTATTTAGCATGTGTAGTTGTTATCAAAGTACTGGCTTCTTAGGGTATTTTTCTCCACCTGTCTTCCTGGGGAATGAATCATTTAAAGCAGAACTGAAAAGTCTTCATTTTCAGGGAAGGAAAACAATGTATGAGTCATTTTGCATCCATGGCACGAAAGAAAGAAAGAAAGAGAGAGAGAGAGAGAGAGAGAGAGAGAGAGAGAGAGAGAGAGAGAAATAGTTTCCTTCAAACAGAGCTTGTTTTCTGTTGACTTCATTGGACCCATTCCTGTTCTCTCTTTGGAGTCCTTGGGGTTCTCTGAGCTTGGCTGTTTTCTTGCAAATGTTTTGTTACCCAGCTAGGTAACATCTTCAGTGCTCCTTCAGTGCACTGAAGATGTTACCTAGCCGGGTAACAAAATCTTTGCAAGAAAACAACCAAGCTCAGAGAACCCCAATGACTCCACGGTTCAACCCTGAGCTACACATATTCGCTTCTATTGTTCTCTCTTTGACAACAGTGTGGAGGTAATTTGCCATGGGCTCCTTCCAGAAGGTTTGTTGGACTTCTCAGGCTAGTCTACAGCCATAGGTGGTCTCCTGTCAACGTATTAACCAGGGCTGATGCTACTTAGCTTCCAGTCCCAAACAAAGTCAACCAGGTGCTGCCCTCCTGAGAACTTACTGCAATGCTCAGTTGCCCATGTTTGAGCACTCTTGACTCCTCCACACCTGAAACTTGCAATGTCCTTGCAATCTTCTAGATGAGTTGACAGATTTGAAAATTACAGATCAGGAACTTGGCAATCTTCTAGTGCTTCCCCTCCATAACACATTCCCTCCATCCTTGAAACATCAGGGCCAAGCTGGATCCTCATGGACTCCATGCATACTCTAATGCGGTAAGTGCTCATTAGATAATTGGGAGTTGCAACATATTGTTGTTAGCTGATAAATGGTGTGTGTGTTCTTCGTAAAAGGAATGCAGGAATTACGTTGGATGAAAGGCTTAGTGACAGAAAGGGGCTGTTTTGAGACTGGGAGAGAGGGGCACTACAGCTGGATATTGGAGATGGCTGGCAAAGAACTGCAAGGAGCTGAGATTTTGGTCTGTGCTCTTTGTTTATTTAAACTATTTATATGCTTTTCTTCTCACATGCGATTCTGAATGGATGCACCTGGCAAGTGCAGCCCAATGATTACGGTATATCAGCTGCAGTTCTGACTCAACACAGTGTTGCACATTCATTTTGGACAACAGGGCTGCTGTGCCAAGCATTTCAGAGGAACTGTTAACATAGTCATGCTTTTTTTTTCTTTTTCCTTTTTTGGCAAGGCTCACGTGGCTGGTTTGAAAGCTGTTCCCATTTCTCCTGTGTGTCCGGGTAGGGACAATATTTCCACTGGGACCCCCAAGAATCCACTTCACTACCATGATTTTGGGAGAAGGGGGTAAGAGAATGAAGAGAGATTGAGGGGACTGGGATGAGCATATGGAAAATCAAGAACATCCACCATGGTCTATCCACTGGTATGGATGATGGGAATATTTTATTATTTTGCATCTGAATGCAAGATTATCTCAATTTGCATTTTTTTTAACCCATAAATGTAACACTTCTTCAAACTTTTTAGTCCTCCAAGTTTGGCAATAAAGTTTGCCAACAATTTAAAACGCATGAATGTATATAAATTCATATATATTTGTGAAAATAGTGTACAGGTTGCCTTATATTATGGGGAATATCTATTTTCCCTAATATAGACCAGAGGTGGAGAGACAGTTTAGTGTAGTGGTTAAGGCACCAGGCTAGAAACCGGAAGACTATGAGTTAGTCCTATGTTAGGCATGAAGTCAATCGGGTGACCTTGAGCCAGTCATTCTCTCTCAGCCCTAGGAAGCAGGCAATGGCAAACCGCTTCCAAAATCTTGCCAAGAAAACTGCAGGGACTAGACCAGGCAGTTGCCAGGAGTCAAAAACTGACTCAAAGGCACAAATAATATTAATAATGAAAAAACAGAGGTGAGGAACCCACATCCACAAGTCATAGAGGGTCCCCTGTCCCTCAAAATTGTGTCACATTACAGGCTAATTTTCTGCCATGCAACATTTTTCCCATTTATTTTTCAAAAATAAGGACGTGCCTGGGTGCAGGAGGACTCTGGCAAGAAATCAGCTTCCATTTTCATCCTTAGAAACTACATACCAGTTTTAAAAACTGTTGCCAAAGTTTGGTTACTTTGCTTTGGCAAGATTTTGGACCATCTGATGACCATCTGGTGGTACAGTGACCAATGGGCATTTGTGCCCATTTTGGGAAGGAAAACAATCTTTTGGTCAGCCTTTTCAGACCCAATGTCTTCCAGATGTTTGAACCCAGAATGAGAAAGTTAGGAGTTGAAGGCTAAAACTTCAGGAGAGTACCAGGAAGGGAGAGACTTATAGCTCTGGTATGTTTGCAATGTATGGTGGCCAACAGGATTGTAACATGTCTGTGCTTGAATTCCATAAAGTGACCTTGCAAAAGCCGTAATGCATATCGAGAATAAGGATGACAGATAAGATCATAGCCAGTATGACTCCAGTAGAAGCACTGAGCTTGTTTTAAGCCAAGCAAGGTGGGGAAAGAAGAAATGGCCTTTTTTTCACGTCCAGGAAAAAAATTAGCAGAAAACAAAAAGTGAGTTCAACAGCATGCTTCTTCGCCTGATGCCAAACCTTAAGTTAGTGGTAACAACACCGTATCTCCTCGGTTCACTGAATTTCCACAACATGGTAAGCACAACTGAAATGGGGCTTAGTAATTTTTGATTCAATGTGTTGTGGGAACCTAGCTGTTGTCTTAACATGCTGTGTCAACTAGGCCGTCCATAATAGGATTTATTTGTTGGGCACAGAATGTTATGAGCACGCAGGCTTGTTAAGCCAGGTTTAAGGGTTAGTGGGTTGTGTGAATCCGGCCCACGTGCCTCATGAGGAGGGAGGGGGTCGCTTTCACTTCTCTTGTCCTCTAAGAAAGCTTGTCTGCTGTTTCCTGAGCTCGACTAGGCCTTAAC